TGACCTGAGCCGAAGGCAGGCACTTAACCAACTGAGCCACCCAGGCGCCCTGAAAGGCAGGGTATTTAAGAGGTAGAATTGTTGTACCAGCTGGTTGATTGGGTGATGGTGAAGGGGGAGGGAGAGAACAGAAGTCAGAGCAGGCTGGAGCCATTCACTGGGGTGGAGAATGAACAAGAGCAGACTTAGGGGAGCAACTGATGAGTTGAGGGCATTGGGACAAGATGAGTTGAGATGCTGGTGGAATATTTGCACGGAGATATCTAGGAGACAGTGAGATATACAGGCCTGGAGATGCGGAGGGAGCTCTGGACTGGAGATGGAGGTCAGGGGGCCATTCTGACCTTCATTTTTTTTTTCTTTAAGATTTTATTTATTTGACAGAGACACAGTGAAGGGAGGGAACACAAGCAGGGGGAGTGGGAGAGGGAGAAGCAGGCTTCCCGCGGAGCAGGGAGCCTGACGTAGGGCTCGATCCTAGGACCCCGGGATCATGACCTGAGCCGAAGGCAGACGCTTAACGACTGAACCACCCAGGCGCCCCATTTTTTTTTTTTTTAAGATTATTTATTTATTTATTTTTAATTTTTTATTTTATTTTATTTTTATTTATTTATTCATGAGAGACAGAGGGAGAGAGAGGGGGGGAGAGAGAGAGAGAAGCAGAGGGAGAAGCAGGCTTCCCGCCGAGCAGGGAGCCCGATGCGGGACTCGATCCCATGACTCCAGGATCATGACCTGAGCCAAAGGCAGTCGCTTAACCAACTGAGCCACCCAGGCGCCCTAAGATTATTTATTTATTTGAGAGAGAGAGCGAGTGAGAGAGAGCACAAGCTGGGGTGGGGGGCAGAGGGAGAGGGACAAGCAGACTCCCTGCTGAGCAGGGAGCCCCACACAGGGCTTGTTCCCAGAACCCTGGGATCATGATCTGAGCTGAGGACCAAGCCACCCAGGTGCCCCAAACCTGCCCTTCATTTTAACATAATCTCCAGGAAACCCTAGTGAGGACTCAAAGATGGGTGGGACATGGTGCCTGTCTTTCAGGAGCTCGAATTCTAGTGTTGAAAACAGACAGGTCTGCGGAACAAAGAGCGGATGTCATGCCAAATGTTGAGGCAAACACAAGGGTAGACACAAAGAACACCTAATGCAGCCTGGGAAGGCTTCCTGAAGGAGGCGGCTCCTGAGCTAGGCCTGATTGGAGGACTTGGCTCTAGAAAAGCCTTTGCTGTTCATCTGGCAGTGGTTGTATCCCCGATTTCTCCCTAGACGAAGCTATTTACGTGTGCACATCTCTCTCTCTCCCTCTCTCTCTCTCTCTCTCTCTCTCGTAGTCCTCTGTGAGTTCTACCTCCATTTCCTCCCAGATGAGGTCTGGGTCCCCTCTGGAGACGCCGGAGGCTGAGATGCTGCGGGAAGTGTACCTGGTACTGTGGGCCATCCGGAAACAGCTTCGACAGCTTGCTCGCAGGCAGGAGAGGCGGAGGCGGCGCCACGTCCGGGCCCACGCTGGCCCCGAACCTGACGCAGTTCAGGGCCTGAAACAGGATGCCCGGAGTCCCCTCTAGGGGGGAGCCCCACATCCTCCAAAAAGCCCCACCTCACTCTTAGGTAAGGTTGATAGGAGAGGTTAGGGCAGCAGGCCAGGAGTTGTGGGTGAGGAGAAGTTTTCGTACTGTCACCTCTCATCGGGAGCCCAAGTCCAGGCCTGGGGTCCCACTTATTCCCCTTCATTCCGTTTATTCACTTTGTAAAAAAAAATTATCAAAATGTTGGGAAATAAATATCAGATATTTCGGAGTAAATATAGAGTGTGTTCGTGGATAGCCAGAGGCAATGAGGGGAACGCGGGTGGGGTAGGGCGGGGCACCTCAGGGGCTGGCCCAAACGTGTGGGAGTAACTTGGGGGCTTGGGGGGGATCCCCACGTCCAGGGCCCCCTGGGCCCAAACCCACTTCCAGGGACTGATTGCCTTTGGCAACTCTGCCAGGCCAGCAACTCCGGGCATCCTGTCCGCAGCAGCACCCCTTTACTGAAGATACGTGGCGCCTACCAGGTCCTGAGCCCGTGCTCTCCCTGGCAATGCTACAAAGACGGGCGTTTTACAGAGGTTGAGGGACTTGAGCAAGCAAGACCTGCTGGAAACTGCCCACTGCCACGCCCCTGTGGCGCTCTGGGGCTCCCCCATAGCGAGGTCAGTGGGTCTGAAGACTGACGCGTCCGCGGCGGCGGCCGCCAGACCCGCATCGGTGGGGAAGGCTTGCAGGCCCTGCCGAGAGCCGCCGAAAACTACACCTCCCAGGGTTCCGGGAGGCGCCGGGGGCGGGGCTGCGGCCGCGCGTCTGCGGCCGAGGGCCGAGCGTGCAGCTGCGGGTGAGGGTGTCCGCCTGGCTCCTGGGGAGTTGGGGCGGGGCGGGGGGGCTCGGCGGGAGGCCGTGGCGTTTTGGAGGAGGCTGGGGGGCGGGAGGCAACACGAAGGAAGACCCCTCTCGGACTCAGTCTGTCCTCTTGCCCGGCCACACGAAGGCGCAGCGGAAAAGCAGGGATATTTCACAAAGACTGCAAAATTAGGGCATTTCAGTGTCCATAGGGCTTGGGGGTGCGGTGGGGAAGGAGGAAGGGATGCCAGCAGAGGCGCCCGGGAAGGGGGAGAGATGGAGAGGGGGAGGAGGAGGAAGGGTGCGGCTGGTTGTGCTGCTGGGTCTGGCTCGGGGAGTTAGTGCGAATAGCAAGCAGGTGGTGGGCGTGAGCAAAGCTGGGGTAGTGAGCAAAGGGGACGGATTGTTGGAAGCACCCAATTCCCTAGAGAAGTCAGCGAACTACTCGCCTCCCCCAGAACCCCCTCCTCACCCCCCACTGCTCTGGAAGAGTTTGGGCCCCCTTGCTGGGAATCCGGGTTGCCTTTCCCAAAAGTCCGGAACTGCACCAGGCTGCCCAGCCCTATAGCCCTGCTACCCTGAGCCTATTACCTGTCCACCGCACCTCAACCTTGCCAGCCACAGGAATACCTGTCACCGCTCATTAAGCTCCTACTGTGACTACTTTTAGGTCTCCTTCTAAGTAATTCTCACAACAGCTTTGTGATGGAGTATTACTGCTTCCGTTTTTTGGAGGAGAAAACCGGGGGACAGAAAGGTCATGTTTAATAAGATCATGCAGGGCGCCTGGGTGGCTCAGATGGTTGAGCGTCTGCCTTCGGCTCAGGTCATCATCCCAGGGTCCTGGGATCGAGTCCCGCATCAGGCTCCCTGCTCCTTGGGAGCCTGCTTCTCCCTCTGCCTCTCTCTCTCTCTCTCTGTCTCTCATGAATAAATAAATAAATAAATAATCTTTAATAAGATCATGCAGCTTTCATTGATCCAACTGATGAGTCTAGCTCACACTGGACATGTAACATACATGTTACATGCACACATAACACATTACACTGCAGGTGTTCAGTACATGAAATGGCTTCACTGGGAATGTGTCTTGAGTTAGGATGAAGGCAAAGCCTGTATTCGGGTGGGGCTTCAAAACAGGCTGATACACAGTGGCTCATTTCTGGGGCTTTCAATCACCAATTATTCCTCACCTCTCCCTGTGTGCGGGGAACCATTCTGGGGCCCAATGGCATTGGCGCAGGGTCTGTGTCCCCGGGTGCCCAGAGGCTGGAAGGTGCTTCACTGTGTGAGATTCAAGATCAGCCCCTCCCAAGTCCTTAGAGTCAGGCTCCTCTTCCAATTGGGGACCTTAAGGTTTTCAGTGGGAGGATGGTGGGGTAGGGTGAAGGGTGGCCTGGAGGGTCACCGGTAAATAGCCTTGCAAGTAGCTACAGGTCCAGGAGCCAATCCAGGCTGGAGGCTGGAGGCTTGTGGGAGGGAATACTGCCTTCATTTTTCTTTGGCTTCTTTAGCATCTTGGAAGTGGGAGGGGAGGAAAGGAAGAAGGTGAGTTCAGCCAGCAGCCAAGGGAGCTGTTGGCACCTCCCACCGCTCCCTCCCTCCCCAGACATGATGGAGTCCTGTCTGGGCTTGGCCAAGCAGGGGAATGGAGACTTGCAGGAGAGAAGGGGGCGGGATGGAAGAGAAGTCCACAGACCTTGCTTTTCCTAGATGTCTCCCTGCACCCAGGTGGCCTCCTTCCTCCCCATCCTAAGTAATCCAGCCCAGAGCCTTGGGGGAAGCCCTGTGGTGGGGCCTGGGGAGGAACTTTCCAACTGGGAGGGAAGCATAAGGAATCTTCCTTAGTGATTTGCAGGGAAGGATGCTTACTCACCCCACCCTCTCCTGGTAGAAATAAGCGGAGGACAGAGTGACCCCTGCAGAAATCTGCCTCCTGATGACAGTCTTGTGAAAAACTCCCACCCTGGACACCCTCCCCTCCCATCCCCATCAGACCTCAGGCACTTCTCCCCCAAAGCTGCTCGACTGCATGAGGCCAAAGGAGTAGGGCTATGGGTGGGCTGAGTTGGGACCAGAGTCCTCCTTTATTTTCAAAAGAGAGGAGCCCTAGGAATGTGGGGAGCAACATGAGAGTGCTGGTCCCAGATGCCCTCACTCTCTGCCCCATCTCCCCTTCTCCTCCATCATCATCTGATTGCCTGAAAATTTCGAATCTTTTGTCCGGCTCCACGACACAGCAAAACATGTCATACCCCGCTGAAACCTTCCAGTAGTTTTCCATCCTTCTTGGAAAAAAATCCATACTGTTCCTTTTGTCTAAAATGCCCTTCTCTCAGATCTTGGCACCGTGAGCTCCTTGCCAGTCTGGATTCTGTACAGATGTCGCCACACGTCTTCCCAAACCCTTTCCCTGATGGCCTGACTTAGAGATCAAGAGAGACCCACCATCCTGGCCATCCTCTGTCTCTCGCCATGCTTTGTCTTCGCGTAGTACTTAACAGTATCTGAAATTATATTTACTTATTGGCCAGTATACTTGGGAGGCCGTGCAATGTAGTGGTGAAGAGCATGGGAAGCGATTTGAACTAACACTTTCCGGATGTGTAACCTTGGGTAAATCGGCTAACCTCTCTGAGCCTTGGTTTCCTCATCTGTAAAATAGGGAAAGTAGTAAGTAGTACCTGTATCACCGGGTTGTCATGAGAATGAAGGAAATGATGCTTCGCACAACACAAGGACTCAGTAAATGTTAGCTGCTATGATTATGATAATGGTTACGACGTACGGTGTACGGTTTCTATCCCCATGGCCTAAAACAGTACTGAATAAAACAAAGTAAACGTTCACCTAGTATGTGGGAAGCACACTCCGAACAGCTGTGTCTTGGATGCCACGCCATTTTGGAAGTGACCAGAAATGCCATGTGCAGCGAGTAGCAGGAAGAGCACTTGACAGAGAGTCCAAAAGCCCTTGGTTCTGGACTCAATATTGCTGCCACTGGGCCTTGAGCTCTTCGAATAAAATAATGGATTGAAGCAAATGGTTCTGCTCCCTGCCAGCTTCCGGGGGTTCCGGTTTGAGCCCTGGGCTCCCTTTATCCACCACATAGTCTTCAGGGTTGGGGACACATGGTGCCTTCAACTCCCCTCAACCCCATCTCCTAACAGCCCAAAGCTGCCGCGAAGAGGGTCAACCCAGGGAAAACATTCTTGGTTTAAGCCCTTGAACCCAGAAACAAAGTCTCAGCCCTGGACAGCGGGTCTTCTCTTGACCCACGTCACTCCCTCCCCTTTGGCCTCATCTGCTCTCCTATCTGACCGCTGGGGGGAGAGCCAGCCCTGACTGAGCCCCACTGGGGGCCGGACCCGGGCCTGAAGGCTGAAGGCTCCGGCCTCAGTTACTCTCTGACGTGCAGACAGGGTGTGTGTGCAGAAGCACGCGCCTGTGTGCACTTGCAGGTATCTGTGGCCGTATTTTGACTTGTTCCCGCCTTCCCCCTCAGGAGTGGCGTGACCGAGATTAACTAGAGGGCTGCTAATGCTGTCTGCCCCTTTGCTGGAGCTGCCTGTCTGCCCCTTTGCTGGAACTGCGTGTCTGCCCCTTTGCTGGAGCTGCCTGTCTGCTCCTTGGGTCATCCTGGGGGTACTGGACAGCCAGCCTGTTAAGATCTCCAAGGGGGAAATGGACCAAGGGTAGGGGGGATCTCCTCCTGTCTCAGTCCTCTCTGTCTCAAAAGCTGAGCCCACCCGCCCACACCTGCCTGCCCACCTCACCGGGGATGCTCGGGTCTGTGTCCCTGCCATAGCTGAGTCATGGACTTCTGCCTATTTCCCTTTCCCTCAGTGCCTCCCGGGGTGAGTGGCTGTAGAGGGGCAGGTTTTGCAAGACTGGCTTGGTGTTTTGTGTTGAAGGAGGAGCGCACAACTGAGGTGTGGCCGCGGCTGGCTCAAGCTGGGGCGGAGGAGGCCCTAAGAAGGCCGGTCCCCCGGATGCAGGGGGTCCGAAGCACGCTTCGCCGGCTTTCTCTCTCCCCTCCAAGTTTAAGACCCAGCTGTTTTTCCTTTATTGTTTATATGCTCTGACACTTTTTCAACTGGGTTATGGGTCTTTTCTAGAGGCCCACGGAGTTCAATATAGAGTTTAAGAGCCTGCCCTCTGGAGCCAGACTACCAGGTTTTGAGTCCTGGCTCTACCACTTACAAGCTATATGGCCAAGTTGCTCAACCCCTCTGTGCCTCAGTCACCTCAGCAGCAAAACGGAGGTAATGTAGGGATGTTGTGAGGATTGAATGAGTTAAGGCACAGAAAAAAACTTAGAACAGTCCTTGCCACATATTATGTGCTATAGACATGCTTGTTTTTATTATTATTTCTTATCGATATCTAGAAGCTCTTGATATAGCAAGGGTGTTAACCCT